TTGATAAGATGGATATTGGTCTTTAGTTGTTTACAACAGAAGGGTCACCTTTATTCAAGACAAGTACCATCTTGGCCGATTTCCATATTTTAGGAAAAGTGGCTCCGCTTATTATGAGATTAAATATATGTGTTAATGGATCCGAAAGTGCATAAATACAATCTTTCACAATAAAACTTGGTATTTCATCAGGACCAGACGTAAGTTTATTTGAGAGTTTTTTGGCGGCAATAATGATTTGATTTCGAGTTATTGAAGTGATACATATCGCGTCATTACAATCTTAATAGTTCACCTCACATGAATTGTTGTTCAAAGATGTATCAAATACCCAACTGAAATATTCAGCAAAGGGCGTTCTGATGAAGTATGTCAGCAAAACCAAGACTCCATTTTCTCGAATCTTTCTTATGACTGAATATTACGTGAAAATAATAATTATTCGTCCAAAATCGATATTCCATAAAAATCATGGTCCTTAATTCATACTTCATAAGTTGAGAAAAGAGTGGAACAAGATTCAATTACGCGCGGCCTCTGCATTCTAGAGGAATTCTTCGAGCGTTACAAGGAGAATTGAATTCCTATCGGCGTATTTCTAAATGCTATTAAATTTTCTGCTCAGAGCCAATTGACCGAAGTTGCGGTGGGAGAGTTACGTCAATGTGGGATGAGGAGGTGGCGCGTAGTGAATTCTGATGATTTGAATCAGATTTATTGAAGCAGATTCGGTTTATCAAAGGGATTGCTATTAAGACACTTCATCCTCTCCAGAGATCGATTATGTGTGCTGAATACAGTATCGGAGTGTATATCCTGCAAAAAACATACCAACGATACCTCAATTATCATTATAGCATTTCTGAGCTGGTACAGCGGTAATTGTGTTTTTTCCTCATCAGAACACTTCAGGTGATAGCATCGTAAAGAAGAAAACACTCGCGAGGTCAGGAAGAACTTACTCCACAAACACAATAAGGTATCACAAAGGTAATATCATAATTAAAGTTGATTAAATAGTCGTTGATCTCTTGCTGATACATTGTTGAATATATTGCTCAAATAATACTTGGCTTGGTTTCAAAAATTCTATCAAATGATTGCTAGGCAATTGTTTCGGGTTGTAACTCCATTTTAAAAAGTAAGACTGAATTTAGACTCAATTCGTTTCGACATTCCTTTCTCAAATTGAGGTTTAGATGAGGTTTGTCCAAAATTACTTAAAGAAAATATCTACCCAATGAACTTGAAAGGCTGAATAGAGGTGTCAGCTGAGATATAGGAGAAGAATTTTTTAACAATTAGGGATATCATGAAACTTTGTGTGGGGGGCATCTTTAAATCAACGGCAATTCTTCACTTGCAAACACAATTGTTGAGAGGCATAATGATCAAAGCAACCATGTGGTAAGAAGCGCTCTAGAAATCTGGAAAATGTCATTAATTTTCGATACTTGAACTCCATTATTGTTTCTCTCGAGTAAGGTTTTGCTGGATATGATCATTCTATCATTCGCATCATTGAAAGTACATTATGCACAAATCCAGTAGATGGCAATCGAACATCTCAAAGAAGATCAACGTGAACAAGTAGAGTGTACGGGTCATTCAGAATCCTCACAAATCTAAAAAACCTTGTTTATTAATAATTGAACTTCTGTGGAGAAAAATGTTATTTTTAGTCTCACACAAAGTATTCACACAAAACTATAATTGAAAACTAAGGAGGTTTCGAAACAGAATGGTCGAGAAGTTTGCACAGGAACCTAAGGATTGAAACTTAATTGAATCAATCAGAAAGAACAGCCTTGAAATAGCGGTTCAATATAAAAGGAAGTAATTTTTAATATTCAAACCAATGAATGAGGAACGAAATTTTCCCCAATATTTTTTCTGATGAATATAGTTATTGCGTTTATAATCTTCACTAATGTTTTAAAAAAATTTTCAGCGCCCTACACATCAACACAGTTTTCCATTGCTTTCTCATTATGCGACTTTACGGCAATTGCCGAAAGTCTTAACTGCTACCATCGAACCAGTCCCATTAATCCATTGTTGAACATACGCCCTTTTTAGTCGCTTTCACTCGTTTCTAGCCTGAGCAGTTTGTATTCAATTTTTTGATACGTTTTGATATCATCTACAAATTTGTCGATCTACCTGTCCTTCGCCTATCACCTCTAGCTCGGCAATCTAGTAACTTGCAGATGCATCTTGAAATTTGACATCAGGCTGTAAAGGTCAGGCTATCTGTCTTTTATTTCGCGATTCTCAATAATGTGGCGGGTTTAGACGGCGCACACCCACTCGCGCACCAGCCTCACTTCCGGTCTCTCGCACAATGTAAACATCTCCCTTCCCTCGACACTCACAGTGAAGCCAACTCGGAGTGAGCCGTCGTCAGTTCTAATGCTGACGTTTGTCGTAATCTCATATCTTATGCTCGACAGGTCATTATTGGAAGATCACATTGATCAAATTCTTCTCTTTTCAAACA